GGGGGGCAAATATAGAGCTAATGTAAGGCTTGATGATATATTTTTCTTTATATCGCCTTTATACATAAAAGCAAGGCAACAAATGAAACTTTATGATATCCGCCATCTTTGTTTTGTTTTGCCCCCTGGAAGCCCCAATAAATGCCTTTCGATCCAAGATGGCTGCTGTATCGTCGTCGAAATAATTCATTGGAATTTAGGAATTAGGATGTTGGGGTTGTACAGGGAGGTGAACCAAGAGAGGGAGACTCAACAACCCTAACTCACGGGATCCCAAGTGAAGAAGTCGAACCCAAGATTTGAGAGGCAAGCGTCCCCTAACTCCTAAGATACCCATCTAATTTGTTTTGCTAATAGATTTTCCTTGATTCAACAGCTTCAATTAAAGGTCTATCAGCAGAAGTTGAAGGTACGGAATAATATATTCAACTATTGAACCCAAACTGTACTGTAAGGAAACCTTTTTGATAAGAGTACAAGCCACATTAAAAATATTGAGTTAACGATAAGATACACAACAGTTTTAAAAGTATGCAAAATGTAGCATATGTGTGGACATAGAGAATAGTTTTCCCCATCCAGTGTTCAAAATAAAGCCAAAAAGTCAGCACAGAAAGAGACCATGGTCCACAATAACATGCATAAAATAAGATGCTCGTAAAAATATGTTCGTAAAGATTCGAGCTTTGTAGTGAATGTTAAATGCAAAGTTATACAGGGAAAATTACATTTGTATGAAATGCCTTTTGCTTGCAGTGATGAGGAAAGACTTGGGCAAAATTATGAAACACAGTAAGGATTTATTCTTGAAGTACAGACGGAATGATCCACAAGATGTCAAGCTTATCAAAGATGTAGATGTATCCTTTTCAAAAATCAACCTTTTTGTAATTCTACCTTCAAAAGTACCAAAAACTAAAGCGAGATATTTGTGATCGTCCCATAGTTAATATGGTCATCCCTTCTAATTATTCTTGACTACCGTTAATTGAGGACTCTGTATGTCAAATTTGGCACTTTTATAACCCTTGTCAAGCTCAAATTTTGTTTTACTCCATCGGACTGTTACTAACTGAGAACCGCGCACTGTATTCAATAACTGAGAAGGTGTTGTCTTGGTTGTCACCTATTTTGCCGCATGACTAACATGGATATCTAGAAGTGCGTATCGTTTTACTGCTCATGTTTTGCATGTCTTCTATTCCTTAATAAGATCTAATAGGAGTTTGCTGCAGAATATGAAGAGAAGCTAAACGATCTCTGTGAAAAATGTAAAGAGATGAAGTATATTTATGGCAAACTACTGGTGAGTAATGAACTAAAGTGACTAGGTTCTTTCGTTTCTGCCCTTCTTGAGTGCTTTCTGTCGCTTCCTAAGAACTGTATTAATGACCAGAGCATGATAAAAAAAGATTTGATTCATATATAAAAAATATAACCCATAGCCAGTTTTCAATGCTGTTTTCTTAAATTTCTCACGAAAAGCAAGCTACGCGCGCGTATGACGTCAGCACCATGCTCCATTCACTGATACAGCTATATTTAAGGGATATTAAACGCGCGCGCATGTCTCTGTACTGTGATATTAACACCATGGAAGCTTTAGAGCACAAGAGAAGCAAGCTTAGGAACACAAGGCGTAACAGAGGGTCTCTCTTGCTTCTCGAGTGCTCTACAGCTCTCAGAGTGTTTATAGCACAGTACAGAGACATATATAAGCAGCCGTTTTATCGTGATTGCTTTTATAAAATAATTTTTAACGATTTTGCGCAAGCGTTTCTCTGTTCTCTGATATAAACACGGTAGCCAGCCAATCAGCGCGCGTCATATTTCCGAGTATTTTATAATGAATAAGATAATCTAATATGATGGCCTATGATCCTTTCTCTAGACAAGATTTGGTGAGCCGCCAAACACAGATTCTGAAGAACTATTTACCGCACTTACAACGTTCCTGACACAATTCAAAAAGACTCTCAATGAAGCAGAAAGTGGACCAAGTGCCAAGAAGAGAATTAAATTAGATGGCCTCAAGTGAGTTTTTCCAGTTACAATATCAATAGTTTAGCTTAGTATTAGGCCACGTCCAGCCGACTATGCGTTTTCGTCTCAACAAAAACGCATTCAAAACTTCGCGTTCACTGACTAGCGTTCTCATAGCGTTTTTGCCTGTTCAAAAAYGCGTATACGATCGGAARTGATGCAATATCAWCATCTGCGCATGCGAAAAACAGAGAAAATGAATGACATTCGCTTTTTCAAAGGCCTCCGTTTTCGCCTGTCCACACTTGAACGATAGGCCTTCGTTTTCAAATGTCTCCACACTGGAGAGCATTTTCAAATGTATGCATTTACGATGAAACGCTTAGCGTGTACGCAATACTAAAACGCATAATGTGGACGGGGTCTTAGACTTGAAGTACCGTCTGCGATAAATACCATTCGTACTAATAACTCATAAAGATCTTAAAATAAGTCAAAAGTTGTAAAAACGTGCTCAATAAWTAATGTCTAATAACTCCTAATAATTTTCATAACCCTTTTCATAATGACAGACCGAGTAAACTGAAGTCTATATTTAGCTTCTGTCAATCAAAAAAACTCATAATACTTATAAGGAGTATAATTGGTGGAAGACAGGAACCAAGACAACTAGACTTCCTAATGCTATATCTGGGTCACATAATGAAAATGGGTGTAAATGCATGCACATTTCAAATCCTCTCTCTCCTACTGTAGTCCAAACCTAGTTTTGACACGAGTTTAGGGATTAAAATAAAAGTGCAACTATGTTGAGAAAAGAGATGTCCTTTCGCTCCCCCATCCCTCACCATCCCCCTGCGATGGTGAGCGCGGAGTAAATGTGATAATACAACGGGAACAAACCTTTGCTTGTCAATCTGCCAATTTGCAAGATAGTTCTAAGATTGCAAAATAGAAACGGCATTTTGCTTTTTGATGCAAGGAAGGGATTCCCTAGGATACAACAAAGGGAYTCGTTGTGCAATAGATTGCAAATTCCAATCCTTGACTCGGCATCACATACAACTAATGTTTATCTAGGTCTTTCCCTTGATTGGAGGTATTTCTCCAGGTCTTCAATGAGCGCACAACCTAACGCGCTAAATTCCAATTCAATCTGTGAATTCCCCGTGCCCTGACTTTGATCAGCCAAGGGATTGTTTCAGGGTGTCAATAAGATTGTTGCAGTGGAAGTTATTTTAACCTGACTGCCGTGGTCACAAACGTGCAATTACATCATTTCATAGTAGTGAATTTGCTATATTGTAATCGTTGGTAAGATTGCTTTAGTCTAGACTGGTTTCTCCTTCAAYTGCTACACGTTCCTGAGGGGGAAGGGGGTGGGGGATGCGTTATGCCGAAAAACCAAAGGAACCCCAAAACGGAGTGCTCAAAGGAAGGGCGAGCAGCTACCTAATATTATTTCCGCCGAGAGAGGACTTGAAAATATGCATCAATTAAATTTAAAACTCAAGTAACCGATATATCCAATCCAGTTAAGGTGTGCAGGGGGGTTACATAATATTGGAAATTGCTTGCATAATTTAGTTCCTCCCTTGCAACAAAATCTTTTTATTTTTTTGCACAAAGTAGAAGTGCTTTCAGCTGTTTGTAACAAAGATTGGAAGTTGTTAYGCACAGACAGGAGTGGTTATGTGAGCAAAATTAGCTGTGTGACCAGAAAATGTTATGTAACAAATTTCACGTTTTTTTTTTTTTTGCATATTACCGATGTATTTGTAAAATACCAGTTAACTTAAGCTTCTAATTTATGAACAAAAACTATTGCTAAATTAATTCTGTAAACACTTAAAACCTAATAAAATTCATTAGAGTATATCTGATAAAATCAAGAGAATAACTTTGATACAATTGTATGAGTCTTTAAGAGAGATGTAATTCTTATAAAYGTAAAGGTAAAAATAAATATTAGTTCTTAATATATACCTTACAGAATAGGATGACTCCCATATTCTCAAAACTATTAAAATAACTATATATTCATAAACATTTGTATAAAATGGATGCTTCAATTTAATGCAAAAATAAAGTTCATGCAGGTCTTAACGTTAGATCATGTTTTTTTGTGCTATGGTCTGTAATATACCCTGGAACATTAGGTGTAGTGAGTGTGGAGTGTGCCATTAAACATAGCGCGTGGCTATGAAATTTGACAACGACTCCCAGCATCAAGAAGTAATTTTCATTTATTTATTTTATTAATTGGTAAAAATAGGATTCAARTTACCTCGCCTATTTGTGCTCAATATCATACAACCCATCTTCACCAAAACCCTTCTGTTTGTATGACATAAGTTACACACATGCTTTTCGAAAACGTAGCATCCACATCATGGTCTCTGCTGGTATATACTATGGGCAGGAACCAATCATGAGCTAACATTCTTCAACAGATGATGAAAAATATAATAGCTTCTTGTTTGTCTGTCTTATTCCTTCTGTTTTTAGTGAGGCCATCGCTGCTCGTGTTGCTCGAATGCCAAAGAAGGTTAGTAACCCAAATCTAAGTCTTTATAATAGAGTGAAACAGGAAATCCGCTAAAGTTTAGTAATACTAAATAGCACATTCAATTTCATGCAAATGCCATTGTTTTCTATTGTTTAACTAGCACTATTTTGTAATTTAGTAATTAGTGTTTCACAGATTTACTTTGGTCACTCTACTGGGTTTTCGAAAAAGCTGTTTTTATCCAACTTTGGAAAGATTTAACGAGTGATTTAACAGTAAGCTAGTTTGTGATACAATATGCCTAGCCRTGCCCTTTTGTGTTCAATGGTAATATTGTATATCTTTAGGAAGCATCTGCCACCACAGCTGAAGCAAGTAGTGGTGGAACCACAGGCTCTTCATTTGATACAGTTGACCACACCAAGTCCTCATCAAATGAAGTAGATGGTCAAGAAAAAGCCTCAAAAAATGGCTCAATTGTAAGTAAAATGCTCTATAAATCAGATAAATTAATACTATGATGAGTGATATTTGGTGATGATCACTTTCTAAAGATGGTTGCCCTATCCAGTGGCTGCTTATTGGAGATTGCTGGGCAGAGTAAGTGGTGGTTAGGTTGTTGCTCTATCCAGTGGCTGCTTATTAGAGGTTGCTGCGCATAGCAAGTGGTCATTTTCTAAAGGGTGCCATAACATTTCCATCTGATTTTTCTTTCTAGAGCACCACAACAGAAGATGAAAGTCCCAGTGCCYTGCCTGAATTAAAGCCAGCACAGATAAACTCTCCAAAGGTTCTACACAAAAAGGTAAAAATATGAGAACAAAAGAAAACAATAGAACTAGACGTTTGTTCAACCRAATTTGTCAGCATTAGACTAGGATTTCAAGGAGCAAATGGAATTGGCATAGCACACATATAGATTCAAGCCTCCCTAGGGGGGAAGGGGGAGTCTGATTATTGGAAAATGGCTTGGAAGCTCATTGTACATTTTAAGGATTCCAGATCTTCAATTTGGTACGTTTGGGTGTCACAAATCTAAAAGGACCACCAGAGAGTAGTGGTACCTCTTAAGGTTCTAGGTTTTTCAGGTAATCTCAGATACCTGAGATTAGATATGGACAGCCAAAATGGCATTCGTAATTCAGGATATTAGATCACTTAGATCATAGACAAGACAATTGGTACAATTTAGGGGTAAAAATCATTAGTTGCCACAGCCACCTGCACAAAACTACCTTTTAGAATTTCCAATGAGCATCTTCACCCTATGTATATATATGAGTCCCCCTTCCCCAGTTGGCATGCAAGCATATAATCAATAAAGCACTACTAAATTCATTTTTTACTAAATAGTATAAAATAGTGTAAGGTCTATTGTTTTGTCAGTGCTATTTAGTCCAAGTTAGTGCTAGTTATGTAAAACATGTATTTTTTGTGGATAGTGACAGTTTGCACTTAATGTACAAWGTCTATTGACTTTTTTCTGTTGTCTTTACAGCTCAGTGTCAAACAGTCTCCATCACCTGATCGCAAACCAACCCCTAGACCAACCAAACAAGGCTACCTGGACAAATTAAGTGGTGGCAAGCACAAAGCACCCAAGTGGGACAATCGATACTTTGAACTTGGAGAAGGCGGGCACTTACACTACTATAAGAAATCCGATGGAAAAATTATTAATACAATTTATTTGCGCGGGTGTCCTGTGAGTATAGACAGTCAAGACCCAACTATTATTCTTATTAAAACTGAAGAACGAGACTGGAGTTTGAGAGCTTCTGATGCAGAGGAAGCCAAGGCATGGAAAGAATCATTTGAATTTTATACTAAGAGGACAAGTTCATCATAGAACGCCATAATAATGAATATACAATTGGATAATATATTGTGCAGTCCCAGAAAATATCCATACCCCCACCACAGAGGGAATTTGTGAAAGGACCCCCCCCCCCCCACCTCTAGGAAATTCCAATCCCCTCTGTGGGTGGGGTAGGGATATTTTCTGGAACTACGCATTGTTAAATTAATCTAGATATAATGCTGAAGATACTATTTTTGGTAGATGGATTTAAGGAGTCGATAAATAATAAACCCAACATACACAGATTCAAAATATGGCAACCAATTTGAATGACTATTGTTCTGGACTGACTATACCTTGTGTTCACTTGAAAACATAAAAGCCTGTTCATGTACRAGAGCCTAGTCATTCCAGCCAATATGGCCATATTTTGAATTGGTTTATATATTGAAATGAAATATGAAACATTGATATGTGGATATTTGTGGAGGATGGACCTGGGGATTATTTATGTCCTTACTCATACATGGTTCAAATGAACAAAAAGGCTCTGGAAAAATACTTGTCTTTTTTCTAAGTAATTTTTATAAAAGAGTTTTCCTCAATAAAGTGATTACTGCCAAAATAAGAATGTCACATTTTTCTATCAAGTTGAAGTTATGGCTTGATTGAAACTATTTTGAAACCAGCTCATAGTATGATCTTCTCTACTCCATCCCAGAATAAATTGCCCTGTAAGCTCATACATTTGTAATTTGCTTATCAAAGATTACAGATTTAGTCTGATTTTCTGTAATTTCAATTTGACAATATGCTAAATTATGTATTGAGAATAAAATGTTTCGTTTGGCTTGATGTTGCTGTTRTTATATTTAGGACAACAAATCACTTGTTTGTGGGAGGGGGGCAATTAATCTGAACAAGGCACCAACTAGCAGCAATAGTCCCCTTTACAGTTCCCTGTGCCATCTTGAAAGGTAACTGTGCCTTTGCKTCGAATTGAGATGAACGGTAAGCCTGCTATGATAAAGACCCCCTTCTTGGACAATTATTCCTATGTATCTATCATGTCAACCTCACCGTTCATCTCCCTCTGTACCTCTACTGGCGCACAAAATAAATAGCTCAAAGAAATGGCAGCCTTATTGACAATGGACACCTAAAGATTTTAAATTGGCATAATATGACCAGTAARGAGCAACAAAAAACATGAAAATAAAAAACATTTTTAATAAAAAGCTTTGTCTATTTTGATACAGAAATATCTTTTATATATAACTATGAATTATAAATCATCTGGGGATTCCTTGTTAATACCTTAAAAATGCTGGGTAGTAAACTGCCTGCAAATCTACCCAAACCTATCTATTCTATTTGAGAATTATTGATTATTTGCAGAACGAGGGTGAATACTGGTAAWTCTAATAAACTTAGTTATACAATGGTTTTGAGTGACGCACCATGGAATATCCCATTAGACATTCGTAATTTCTACCATACACAAACGCCTTCCTGAAGGCGAGTGTTTTTAATAAGAAAATACAAATAACAATTGGGATATTCCATGGTGTGCCACGAAAAAGCATTGTATCTAATAGTATTTCATCCCACACGATTGAATATACCTAGGCATCACAACACCCACAAATCCTGATGGGAAGAAATGGTAGAATACGGCAAAATGTACAATCACGGCTTTCTTGCATTCTGAGTGGCTGTATATTTTCAATAGTATGGGATAAAAATTTGAAGCTAGAAGAAAAATGGTACATATAAACAACTGAACAATCGGAAATCCTATAGGCACAATTATATCTAAATTAGCTGGTGCCAAAGAATATTTTCCTAAATTTTGCTTTACAGCAACTAAGATACTGTACACAAAGCAGGTGATTCAGTGTTAGTCATTCTTAACTAACCTCCACAATTTTCTGTTATGACAAAATAGGATTTTGGTGGATATCAATCAAGTCTTTATGTGACGAAGGAACACACCTGTGGAACGACATAGAAAAGATGTGATTGGCATCCACCAGTATCTACTTTGTCCACATCTGCATTAGAATTTAAACGTTAATACAGTCTGTATTAGGGACACTTAAAACAAAACAAGATTGCACTTGTAAATATTTCAGTCTACATCATGGTGGCCATGTTGATATGAGAAGAAATTAAGCAGATGCAATTATGACCAACTTTATGTGAAATCTTACTAAGCTGGCAACTATTAAAACGTGATGAATAAACTGACTATAAGTTCTTAAAAAAACTAAAAGTAGATATTTTACAAATTATAACATTATATTAGTTGCTGCATGATTGAGATGCTAAAATGGAATAATTATTAATGATTATTTTTTCTATCATCTTCAGGTGGAATTTCTTTCACATTCATTCATTTTCTTTCACATCTTTGACAAGTGCTATTATTATCCTCCCACTCTCATAACCTAGGTATTATTAATACATGTTATGTCTGAGTAAACTGATTCATAATCAACATTTTGTGGCTTTACTGAACAAAGGTAATCTAATATCTCTACTTTGGCCTCATAAATTTGTTCTCTATATATAACTGTTTGTACACAAAACTATTGATCACTTCTAAAATTTTGGTAAGTAAATGTAGTAAGGATTAGTTTGGGATATCCAATCAGTCTTAAACACTAATCTCATTAGATTAATAATTCACCAATCAGATTACTATAAAATCTTTACGAACTGGAAATGAACTCAAAAACATTTCCCATAAATAGGCCTTACTCCTTTAGGCAAAATGTTTTCCCATTTTAGATCATTGTCATTGTCTTGAGAACGTACAAGATTTCTTGTTTAAGTTGCATCCACATCCCTTTGTCTTTTCCTGCAAGACTGTTAAACCAAGAAATAATACTCTAGGGAATAACATGTGATCTGAACAGAAATTGGAAAACATTATGCTGAAGCTATAAAGAGATGCATTAATTAGATTTACAGSTAATATGAAGGAGGAAATATTAAACTATTCTTATAATAAATACTACAAGTAAGGCATCTAAATACAAAACTAAACCCCCAAGTTATGTTCTACTACAAAACTTCTATGGGTTATTTAATATACACTATCTTACATTGTCAAAAATAAATAATATAATGTACCTGTGGTAAGTTTTTGCTTGGGGAATATACATTTCAAAAATTTAACTTCAACAGAAATTATGAAAATCAAAATCAAAATGGTCTAATTTTTGGTATTTTTTAGCACTGAGGCAATTAATGACTAAGCTGAATTGAAAACAGATTTTAAAAAACATCACATTCTGATCATAAACCAGTTCACTAGTGCTTCAAACTACAGGACAACCCTAGGGTCTTAAAGGTGATTCATACAGTATTACTCAAATTAAAGTATATGAGAAGTGGTACTGGTTAGCAAAATACAAGTTTCCACATTTAGAAACATTGTGCATTCTGGTATAGTTTGGGTATGAACAAAATCATGCTTGCATTAATTATGGTCTATCAGGATGGTATCAATTTGCTATTTCAAACACCTGTCCTAAGAATTGTCTCTAATGTATGTATCATATTTACCATTTTGGATAAATGCAGAATCTAAGGATTCATGTYTGGCCTATTCACAGATATTAACTTAACTTGGAACTAAGACAAGATGACTTACTACCTAGGTAGCCATGGTTACAGGCAGAAATGCTTTCTGTGCTTTTCCAATTGAACTACGGCACACTGGACACATCTCTAGTTGATCAGCACAGACATCACAAGAAACCATATGTCCACATGGGCAAAACACTGTGCTTATATCAGCATCCATGCATATCTTACAACGCAGATCATGCTCCATTTTGTTGAGYTTTTCTTTCAGTTCACTTTCCTGTTCAATTCCATTTCCCTCCAGTTGGACTGAAACATTTTGTTCCAGTGTATATGGCACCATATGAATAGGATCGTACCCTTGGTTATACAGAACTCTACGACAGTGGTCGTATACTTCCTTACAAGTTCTTCTTACGTCAAATATGTATTTCTTGTCAGATTCCTCTTCATTGAATAGAGAGAAAAAKGTCTCCTTAAAGTCTCTGGTGAACTGGCATTTGACTGCATTACGAACTGTCTCRCAGCGATAAAATGCATGGTATTCTGTGATAGATCGATATAAAGCACAAGCAGCTCCTTGGGTGTGCAGCTTTAATTCTAGGATATGGTCTCCATCACATCCCATAATGGTAAGGTAAAGAATCTTACCCGTGTGGGTTGCCATCTTAAGTCCATTGTATGATATGCTAGAAAGAAAACAACACAACAGTTAGATATTGTACAACTATCACTCACTGTTAGGGGTCTGTGTGGTTTACTCCCACTACCATAACATTCACTATTAAATTATGACAAAAAATACTTGACTCAATTTTTGTGGACGGGGAAAAAAATGGAGACCCCAAAGAAAACCCTAAGAGAGAGAACAACACAAAACAAAATCAATTCACACCTATTTAAGTCMAAAATTGATTCCATGAGTCACCCTAGGCTTGAACTATGCAGCAGTGAAAAAGTCAGCTCTGTAATAAAGCATTGTTGAGGGGAAAGAGCACTAAATATATATGGTTACTCTACCCTATACCCTTGGGTCCAAAAACTAGTCAAATGAAGCTTATTTTAGTATTACCATGTGTGATATGTATTAAATGCTTTAAGACAAAAGCAAGGCATGACTTGTATAAATACTTGCTTAATAGGAAAACAGAAAACAAGAACTAAACTTGTATTAGAAAATAATGCTGAGCCAAAGGAATTGGAAATTTTGGTAAAACAAAAGAATCTCATGTACCCAAAATCAATGTATCATAAACAAGCAATAAAGAAAGGAAATAGCATTTTCTAAATTACATGTTCATGTAAAGCAAAGTTCACATTGTTGAATTAATACAATAAACTAAATTATCTAAATATAATAAATTATAAACCTATATTAATGTAGGTAAGTATCTTTATTTAACRAGGGTAGCACATGACAGTATATAATGAACAACTGATGACCCAGTGGCCCTCAACTAATAAAAATTTAAATATACACCTACTTTCAAGAAYGTTGTCATACGATATTAGGACATTAGCAATTTAGTGAGAAAGGAATACATTAAAAGACAAAAGAAAAAGTTCAGCTTCAGTGATCTTCTTTTGTTTTTTAATATAATTCCTATCCCACTAAATCATTAATGTTCTATTTTCATATGACAACGTTCTTGCAAGTAGTTGTATATATATATAAGAAGAGAAGAATAGAAGAAAAGAAGAAAATAAATAAATACATAAAGAATAAAGATTACTAATATGTAAAATTTAACTAATTAAAACTATAAAAACTATTTATAAGAACTATTTATAAGAATGATAAGAACAACTGAAGCTTAAATAAGAAATATGAATATGAATAATTCATATTTATATTTCTTATTTACATAAGCTTCAGATATTATTATTATTATTGATTGCATATCGTCAACCAAAGATAATACACTACCTGTTTATAAAAATAACCTAATTCAAGTTTATTATATATATTTTAATGTAAGTACTATTGTAATTCTGGTATTAAATTCCCTAATGACTACAGGTACCTTAACCTCAGTAATAATCATTAGTGGTTAACCAATGAAAATGATGTAAAAAATTTATTAAGTCACCTAGTTATAAAAARGCTTACCAAAATAATAAATATATAATTTGATTAATTAGTTAAGGGGACTTCATCTAAATACTTTTCAGCACTCTGTTTTCTAATATCTACATCAATTTTTGGTCTCTTTGTTTTCTCTTTCTTTGATGAGAAATATCATCATCCTGCTTAATGCTTAAGACATGTTTTTTTACACAAGAATGTTTTGCTTTAGCATTGAATWTGAACAAGGTAATGATATTACTGCAGTATATCTGTTATTTTTCAATTCAAATCTAACTTCTTGCTCTTTTGAAGGCCAAGTAAAAATCTTAATAAATCTCAAAGATAAAATTAGAATTTAATTTTCAAGTATTGAAGGAGCTATGGGGTATCTAGAGAAAACCCCTTGAAGCAATTATACTCACACAGGCTACAGTTGTTTTAGCACTACACACCATACATACCAGTATTTAATTTTTTTAACTTATTTTCTATAACTACTATTGCTAATTAGTATTTCACTGATATAGACAAATATAGCAAATAGTTATTGCTATTTGTGGTATTAATATGTTAATAGAAGTTAATGTGGGAAGCTATGTGGGTTCAACAATATCAGCTATTAATGAAGCTTTCTAAAAATGTCTTTTCTGGGGAGTTGGTTTGAGTTGATTTCTTCTAGTTAAGACATGTTTTACAGCTCTTTCAAAACGATTCTTAATTGATAAACTGTCGGCCATTTTGCTTCACAACCGCGGACTCAATTCTGGCCATCAAATGCAGTACATCTCTTGATATAGACTTGTGCATCAAAACCTGTTTAAATCAGTATCAAACCAGGAATTTTGCATCTCATTATCCAGATTCTTGGATAGCGGCATTACATAAGAACTACACGACTTCTACATTTTAAAGCCTGCTAATATCTTTGTTAATCCTTTTCATGTGTATGAGTTGTGTATTAATGTTGATAAATGGTTCTTTCTAAGACAGTGATCTTCAATAAATATCATAGAGCATGTGTGTGTTCATAATACTTTCAAGGCTTTTGCATAACAAAATATTGAAATAAGGTTTTTATGGAAAACATGTTTAACAGAAAATATGACTCGACGTTTCAGCTATTCCCATTGTGAAGAAGACTATCATTGGCATAGCGAAACATCAAGACATATTTTCTGTTCTGCATGTTTTCCACTATCATTGGCATAGCGAAACATCAAGACATATTTTCTGTTTTGCATGTTTTCCATAAAATCCTTTTTCAATATTTGTGTATTCACAGATTGCAGAATTTAGTAAATCGACTGTATTGGAAATGGGAGCAGTTTTAAAACACAAACACATTTACAAACATATTTACAGATACATTCTCCTTCACTGATAAATTTTGAAATTGGTTGAATCCTAATCGTTGAAGCTAGAATTCATAAAATAAGGTGCATGTTTTACTAGCGGTTTCAAGCATCATAAAAGTCAATGGGTTAAAGACATTTTAATAGCAAAAGTTCATTTTTCCCCATTTAAATTTCGATTAAACTGCAAAATTCTGAAATATATTTAAGGCTTATGCAATAAACCTCAAGTGTGAGCTCACATGGGAGCTATTACATTATAATTTCCTTCAAACAGCAGTATAGTGCATATTATATAGATAGACACTATCTATAATCACACACTAAGGATACAAATACGAGATTTTAGATTATTTTTTGTGATTGGTGGGATAGGTCCTTGGTTTCAATATCTTTTAACCTTGAACTTCACAAATACACATGGCGACCTTGGAAAGACAGATAAGCTGACATGATCATGAATATATTTTGTAATCGAAGACATGAACATTTTAAATTATGCAAATCACTGAGGAAGATAATCAAAAGGCCAAGGACATGTAGATATATATGTACAATACATGTGTGATTTTGTACATTAAAGCTTCTCAAACCACATACACCACATTGTGAATGTGCTACATCTAAGTAAAAAATAGACAAAGAGGCTGACAATTGAGGTTTTTGGATCACTGGAAAACTGAAACAAACAAGGTTGTTATTGATGGATCACATAACTAATTAATATTCATTTTTGTCACACAAATTAAATAACACAAATTTGTAACATTAATGATAGTTTTTAAGATATCAGTAGCTTGACAGAAGCATATGGATAAGAAATCTCCTAGAATAACTCAGAGTTCCAAATATGTAATCCCACTGGGAGTGTGGCTTACAGCCCATGGGTCAAGATAGGATTTGAATATAAATAGAAAAAGCTAATACAATGTTGGCAAGAAGCCAGTAAAGTGACAAATAAGTAAAAAGAATTGTAATGGTGTGGTGTTCAACAAAATTCAAGCTATCATGATTTGCAGTTTCTATTTTATGTGCCATCTTGCTTTTTCGGTCTTATTTTTTGAATGTCAAATATTAATTTTATTGAAAAAGTCCTCTTATGCGACATCTCTCTAAAACTGCAGTTCTTTGTTTGGTGAAGAGATAATAGCTAATCTATGGATCCCCGGTTCATGCATTAGCATAATACAACAATGGCACGAGGAAAGCCCTGCAAATGAATGACCTTGTCATGTTTTAGCCCTTTTTAGCTCAAATAACATCTAAAAAATACTTCTTGAAATATCCAGATATTCTGTACATAGAAACGACAATATATTGTTTGCCTTGAAGGCTTTAAATTGATTTTTTGTGAACAAAAGATCAATCAGGACTAATTCATTTATGGCTGTAAAGGAAAGTGAACGTTCAACTAACATTGAATGATATTGACATTCGCTGCAAACAACATGCTTTTGGGTCACGTTCAGGAGAATTAAAAAAAAATTTCCAAATTATTAGTTGAATTGAGCACGAAAAAAATCATAAAGCAAATAATTTTATGCTACGTGACTTATAAAAAGAAATACATTGAGAAGTGGCTTAAAAAAAGATTATAAAAAGAATTTTTGAACAAGTTACGCTGGTCTTTATAAACACTAGCTGTTGACATGAACTTTTGCTGTAACGAGAAAGAATTCGGGCTTAAAAATTGAACGCCAGCCAAATATAACCAAATTTTGAAAGAAACAAGAAGTGACGGTAAACAGGGATTTTATGACTGTAAAGAGCAAAAATTATCCACCACAAAAGATCCCATTTTTTCTCCATCAAAACAAAACAAAAATTTGCACAACTTTCGATCGCCTTGAATAAAATCAATATTGTAAAATCTAAGCTCATATTGTTATTATTTTTTTGTAAAATATTGCCCCAGTTTAAAAAGTAAGAGCAATTAAGATTTCCCATGAAAGAAGACGAAAACAAAAAAATATAACCTTAAAAAAAGTCAAGATGAACGAAAATTTATATCGATTATCAACAGTACGATTATTAAGTCATTTTATTGGGTTCCCAGGTTCTATCATATGGTTTTGAGTGTTTAGGAAAATAATATTCTTCAAGAGAAGAGGATCGTAAGTAGGATAAGATGGTGACAAATGAAGCAAAGCAAAAAAAAACTTGATAATCACGAGACTTTCTCGACACTCACCTCTCAACAAAGTTAAACTCCGCATCATAAATTCGAAGTTCTTTACTGCTTACTCCAATATTCGAGTGATTACCCTCAGTATTTCTAGCTGTATGGAACTCAGTCCCATAATTTTCGAGGTCTGCTAGCTCTTTTAAGAATTCATATTCCGCTGTTGATGGTTTTAAACCACGAAGTTTTGCATGTGCGGTCGCCACCGAGTCCGAAGTCCAGTTCTTTCTGCATTCTCCATCAGAGTTTTTGCAGTAACTACAAGGTGAATGCCCATCTGTATGGTCCCCATTTAATGCTTGAGCAATAAGAGCATACAAATGAGCTATTCTGGATTGTAGACTGGTGATTTTTCCATCTGTAAAGTCCTTTTTTAGATGCAGAAAGTAAAGATGCCTAAAAGTAGAAATGAGGAYACAAGGGTCAGTTTGACAAATCAAGCGGATGAATTAATTTAAGGTTTAAAAAGCTTTAGCAAGTAAAATGGATTTTTTTTGATCAAAAGAGTCCYAGTTTAGACTCCTCAACACATACCTGGAAGAGTCTTGAAGTAAAAAATGTGGCTGAACGAAAAATTTGACGCGAAAACTGAGTCGATATGGAGGATTACCGGAAACTTGGCGACTTATTCGATTCCTTGTGTTCAACCATAAAGTTTCTCCCTTTGGACCCGAAAATTGCAGTCCAAAATAGTCTACCTCTATAATACCAAGTCTCTGGCAAACCTAAATGCAAAATATTCAGTTAGCAACCTTGAAAGAGGGGAAAATATCTCCTTGGAAATGTTTTAAACTTTCGTCATGGAGTCMATAAAAATTTTACCTGATCCAAAAGCTGTTGTCCAAGCGCTTTCTCCGTGAGCTCGAATTCAGTGATAACTGAATCGGGAAGCGACACAAAACACCACATGGCTTCTGTGTGAGAGCTGTGTCTCGCATTTCATCGAACCATAATCTTTTCCGCCATTAAAATACCTCCTCACACTACAATATTCTGCATGCAACAAGAAAAAATTTTCTCGCAACTTGGACTTCGATCATTCGAAGTGTCCACGCTTAGGTCACGTGCATGATGTAAGAAACGACCAATCAAAATGGTTCTCCTATTTAAGGCAGCCAATCAGATAGCTTGAATTTAGAGAAGGGYTTTTCATGGGCGGGTATTTTTTGCTTACCATGCAAAAACAAGATGGCATATAAATAACTTTATTCCTTTTTTCTTTGCATCGCAGCCTTTGGTTAAAAGATTAAAAGAATTRAAATATAATTCTCCTTGCGTGTTCATAAGATCTTAAACTATTGCGTGCAGAAAGTTAATTTCGTGCTAAAAGGTGCTAAAATGGTGTTTAAAAATACTTGAAAGGGGAACAAGTCTTGGCTTGCGTTACACACATAYGTCACAAATACACAATTTAAACATTAAAGACAGTCATCAACATCCATTATGGCCCAAGGAATAAGATATATCTCCAAATATAGCACACTGGACAATTYTAACAATGAAGAAGTCCATGGAATTCACCATGGTTAAAATCTGGTTCCGTGACTTTGGAGAGGTTTCGTTTTTGAAGGTGTTAAAATTAACTTAACAGGATTACGTTAAGAAGATACTTTTGGTAACATGGWGAATCAAAACAACAAGCAACAATATAACTAATAATATTCTCCGTTGCACTGAACACGAAATATCATTGAAAACACGAAAACCGCCAACAAATGTCAGTGAACAATGAACAGTTTTATTGTCGATCAGAGGGTCAGTCAACAACTGCCAATATTGTGTTACGTGGGACTCACGCAAGGATTATTAGATTCATTGAAATAATAGCCGGGAATTAATATAAATGGCGCCAAATATAAGAAAACTTTAGTCGTTCTATGTTTTCAATGAAAACTATAAACTGTAAACTCAAAGCAAAATCCTTCTTGTTATTCCAAATTCCAATCAATGCCAACGGAAATTAACACTAATACCCAACTAGGCAAATTAGGAAATGAGTGACAATTACATGCATTCGGTTTTGTCAGATCGCGCGTATAGAACTTATGTGATAAAATATTACTACAAACGTGTGTTTTTTCATTTTTCCTGCTTCGTACGGTTGGGTTCAAACAAGTAACTATGAGTGAATCTAAATTATTTCGTGCATAAAAGTTGATTTTTTGGATTTTTCGTTGGCTCGGCTGAAGGCTAGTCTCCCCCACAGCCGCTTTCAGTTGACGACACTGARAGCGGCTGTGGGGGAGACTAGCTGAAGGCTAGCCTGCCGTGCAGACGTTCTTAGTGCACGGCAGGCTAGCTGAAGGCTGGAAAGTTCAAAATCGCTGTTATATTGACTTATAGTTAATCAAGACTTTAATTTTTGAACAATTTTAGCAAAGAAAATGGCAATTAACGAAAGTATTTTCAAGCCCCCTATAGGGTTTTCTTCTCTATTCCCGAGTTGCGCATGCATATTGTTGCTATGTGAATTTACATTTCTTGTGGAAAGGGGGGGGAGGGGGCGTAAGGGGATGGATATTCCTTCTATAAATACCTGGACATTATTTTTGTGTAGTGTTRAAACACATTAGGGGATAACGTATACGTAATGAAAAAGACAGTATTTCGTTTTCTATTTTTGTTTAATTGTTTTCACTTTCTATCGTGGCCGTCATGCACGCGTCCAGTGATACCAACATGTTTGCTTTCAGGTCAAAMTGAAACGTGTTTGCTGACATCAAAACAAGTGAAATATACATACTGAAGAGAAGGAATGGTTAGGTTTGCGAGTTGACGCATGACATACTATTCCTACATGAGCTAGTATCAATGCTWAGTTGCGCCTGCGAAGTGGTGTCAATTTGTTATTTTCCTATACTTAGCGAAAGTGCAATCAGTTTAAACTATGGTTCTAGCTGGTAAAGCACGCAACGTTCACAGATGTAGTGACACCTGATTTTTAAGCTTGTTTTTGATTTGCGCTCTTTTACGTGGTGTTTATTGTTTACGATAGAATACATCAACTCTAATTGCAACCAAAAACAACAAGGTAAAAAAAAAAAACTCTGTTTAAGCGAATAAAGAAAGGCAGAACAAGCCAAATTAGAYAAACTATAGGTCTCGTAAACATGAAATGGTAAAACAAAATTATTYATTGAAGTACGGTATATGGAAGTATAGTGTATAGAAACTAGTGTTTAAATATAACTATTGATTGTAGAATTAAGATTTAGATTGTTTTTCTAAGCATGAGCACTAAGAAGTTATGGATYGACATCAACCCATGGCCACGTGGAGTTAATGCTCTTTGATATTCCATTAAGGGAGTTTCGCCATSAGCAAGTAGGAACTGAGCACATCAGAAAGATATCAGAGGCACGTGCGTGAAATCAATGAATAATTTAGCTGTTGTGAAATCACGACTAGAAAAAATATTTTGACAAATAAAATGTTTTATCCCGTAAAAAAAAAMMAAAAAAAAMMMCGAAAGGTGTGGTCAGCTAATACGCATGCTCAAGGGCTCATGGCTTAATTCACTAGATTCTTCAGGACTTGTTTATCGGCTTATGGTTCGGGTTGACCGCCAATAAACTGAAGATCTCAGTAAACGTTAGTGCTATCAAACACCGAAACAACATCTAGACTTATCTATATGTCAGGGCATGGCAAAGTTACAACTCACAGATCGAACCCTAAAACAACCACTGGGCTGATCTAAGTCACTAGCAGGGCATGGCTAACTCACAGATCGAACCCTAAAACATGGTTAACTCGCAGATTGAATTGAAAATAAAAAATAGCGTATTGGGTTTTTCGGAGGAAGAAAGATAGATCGGAACCTGGAGAAAATATATTAAAACACTCGAATCTATTCTTGTTTTTGATTATCAAAAAAATCTTGAATTATAGCTGGTTCTGTGTAAAAAAATCAGAAAGGTGGTGAACGAACAGGCATGAGGCGTGGTCCTTTGTTTGTGGCTTCACCTCTTAATTTTGCCAAATTGAGGCAAAATTAATCTAATAAACTCCTTAAAGGTATTTTTGAACGTTTACAAAGCAAATATAAAGAAAACTAAAAACACTTCAATAAGAACAAACAATCTGCCCGCGGYGTATCTCATGTGGGTTTCATAACATATTGTCGCAACTCATACAGTAAGAATTTCCAACGATATAGTAAATCTTTTACRTAGCTTAATTAATTACTTTGAATGATAGCCCTCTCTGAATGAGAGTATCCATCGATGCATCCGATGCATATACCCATGCTATACCCATATATATCGTGTAACGCCTCGAATTTCCAGAGAATGAATCGATATACTACACTATTACTTACAAGGCTAGGATGGACTGAAAAGCTATATGTGAATTGTAGCTAGGAGATTGAATGCTATACATACTTTTATATCGATGATGTCAGTTTATGCATAAATYGTATCACTTGGACTTAGTTTATTTGAGACCGCGTTGGAAAATTTTCTCAATCGAAACTAACCGCAACAACGGCCAGTGTGAAATCTAAAGAGACCTCTAAAGCAGTAAATTCTTCTTCTTCTTCTTCTTYTTTTTTTCCACAGCTGTTTCGTGTATTGACATGGTTGCTTACAAGACTTACAATGCTTAGGGTTTCAAAGCGCTGATATCGTCGTGTATTAAGAAACAAACCAAATACTTAAAGAAAAACACCAAAACTAGAGGTGACGCCGTATATATATAAAAAAAACAACAACGAAGTGTTGTTTTTATCACCTGTTTTYATTTTCCTGGTGGCTTGTTTATTCTTGGTCGTTTTTTTACGTTGGTTGAATATTATCATCGATATTCACGGTCGTGTTTGTCATGTCAAAGCGCGCCAGATAGACTAGAGTGCAAATCATATCCGTGAAATAGCACAAAAACTAAATAGCACTAAAACACGTCYTTTTCTTTTATTTTCAGTTGTTTCATTGGTGCTATTTTGTAATAATCAGTTAGTACTATTTCATGGATATATTATTTGCACTCTAGTGATGTTGGTACTAGTGTTTTCGATGGACCCACCCAATATAGACCCTCGGGCGTAATGTTTTCCCATTTTAGACCACGTTTCATTCTCTTGAGAATAAGATCCTTTCTTTGAGTTGCATTTATATTCATGTGTCTTTTCATGCGCGACCCGTAAACAAAGAAATAACCGCACTGGGGCATTATGAGACGTGGCTAAMTGAATAGGAAAACATCTCCGCCCAAGGGGAAAAGGTTAATTTTTGTCTGAAAACTTGAAATGAAAATAAAATCTGAGATTTTGAGACATTTCGAGACCGGGCCCAAAATCGAATAATTTCGAATTTATAAATGTCGATTGATAAACAAGAACAAAMATTACAATTTAACTAATAAATGATAGGGTCACTATTGGAGGTACTGACAATGGAATATCATATTATAAATCCTTTTTTGGTATTTTTAAGCTGGTATGTTTCTTTTTTAAATAATTTGGCACACGCGCACCCCTTAGCCAAAATTTAATTGAGACAATTTTGAAATCTCTTGGGCTTCCTGCTGCTGACACAGGTATCCCAATGTAAAGCCTCGCAGATGACGGAAAGGCAACAAAATAGGAGTGCGCAATCAATCAGGAAGAAGAAATCTCAGTAGTTATTGGACAAATTACATTTTTTGGCCACGGGGAATGGAATAGACATATTTCGTTTCTCTATCGATTAAAGGGGGCGCGTAGGATAAGTTGAATAATAAGACTTTGCGACCTCAAAATATGATAGAAGTCTAAAAAATCAATAGAAAATAAATAAAATACAGTATAGTAAAAAAAAAATAAATAGCAATCCCAATGGCGTATGAAATAATAGTGCTTGTTGTCACTTGATAGAATACAGCTACAATAATCAGTGATCCAAAGGAATGAAACTCAGGAATACATTCTCATAGAGGTCTCGACAAAATTTGATCCAATAAATACAACAATACAACTATATGAAAAAGAGTTTAACTAGAGGACTCACTTTGTCCTGCGTGATCTAAAACTTATAATGCACCGATTTTAAGTTTTGTTCCCATAATTAACGTTGGAATATTGTACTAGAGCATGTCCCTAGGAGGCGCAAACTTATCCTGGAACAAGATCGACGCTGGCGCTTAATCAACTCGCTTTACATCAAACTGAAACCAGTAGCGCAGATTTAAAATCCTATTCCCACAATCGGCGTTAGGATATTACTAAAGAATTTACTAGAAGCGTAAACCTGTCGCAAGACACAAGCGCAAATCGAATRYAGMTTAATTCTCGTTWTRCTTGGAAACCAATCGCGCGGATTTRAGGTGCTCTTCCCTTGATCGGATTTCTATATTACTCAGTAAAGGATTTCCAAGAGGCTCAAACTTGGTGCATTACGCGATACAGCGAAAATCAGTTGACATTCAGTAAAAAGCCTTGCCGAAAAACCAACACGACTGTTTGTAGTGCAAGATGTATAAAAACATTTTGTCATAGACAATTGATAGTTTTTATAAATATTTCAAAGTATGAGTATGAAAAGTGAAATTAATTCAAACGAAGTGCGCGCTTTACCTCTGTCACATTGGCCCTTGATTGTTGACGCGCAATGAATCGTTGTTGCCGCCCACTTGTCTCGTGACCCTCAGTTGAATAACAGGGCCTTAGATATACCTTGTTCTTTGTGTGCGAGTTGTGTTGAGATTTTTGTTGTTGTTTTGTCTTGTTGCGCAAACAAGGCCTCACAAAATAAATTCCATCGTTTTTTTCCTTTTCTTTCTTTGACTAAGGGCCAAAASCCTTTGTGCGAAAGGTGCGGTGTTCAGCTCACACTATGTACAGGCACTCAAACTAGTGCAGTTCTTTTATTTCCTCCTACTCATCATCACAGTCGGAAACATTGAAGTATTCTCTGTCAAAATCCTTTTGAACTCAGTCCCCGTTTCCAAGGTACCGTATTCTAAAATAGCAACAATCCATWTTTACGATTGGCTTTTCCCCCTAATTTCAGGAAAAGACAAAAACAAATAGTAGAAAATGGAGTGTCCCTACTTAATCGTTAATTAATATCTTGATGGATTTTACAAGAAAACTCAACGCTCTTTCATGGTCACGCGCTTCGTATAGTGAAAAGARCTTCGAAAGGATGCCAAGATCACTACCTAATGAACTATCTTCCACGCATCAACATCGTKTCTACCAATTCAAACTTTCAGACATAACTCAGCGTAGACGTATGATTACCAGCTTCATGAGCAGCTGTCTTACAATGGCGCCTCAATATTATACAAAGGTCATTCAAGTCCTCTAGCTAYTGATGATAATCTCAAATCACAAGGTGATAACTGTAAAATTGCGCCATTTAAAGAACCGTCTTTTATATATATGAAGAATAAATAGAATAGTATAAACAATAATAATAATAACAATAATAAATATGAAAAATATGAATAATGTGATTTGAAAAGAACCGTCCTTTATAAATATGAATAATGTATTTGAAATATAATACAATATTTATATTTATTCATAATATTTAAATATCCAGTCTACTTYCTACTTAGTTTTAATGAACTGTTGTTTCTAAACATGTCGAAGCAGAACCTATTAAAGAAAGCACGAGGCAATTTGTCTTCTGTTTATCCCCCCTTCGATTAGAGCAAGCTTCCGGAGTTTTTTTTTTAATCATGTCTATTTTCATGGAAATTAAATCAAGAAAAGGCGTAACTCGAACAAAGTCGAACGTCTATATACATATCAAATCCAAGTGAATTCAATCGAAATTGAAGTCGTATCAATCAAATTCAAACTATTTTGTAGGTTCGATCTTTTCCATTTCCGCGAGTCAATCGATGTCGACCATTTGATTGAATTCGATTGTGTTCGATTGAATTCGATTTCCGGAAGTTCGATTAACTACGCCAGGAATCTAACTGCGTCTGTTCTCTTTTTTTAAACGTGCAAGGGACAACCAAGACAGATGAGAAAATAATCTGTGATTTTAATTTTAAAATATAAAAA